GGGACAATTCAGTCCTAACATGATGGGCGACTATTGCTGGACACTGCAACGAGAAGAGAGCAAGCTGTACAAGAGAAAGAGTAAAGTTCAGAAGCACTTTTAGAACTTCATATTTTGTCATTATAAAGGATTTGAACTTATGTTTTTTGGTACAATTTTTTATGAGCTTATCTGTGATAGGTTTAAAATTGTATCTTGCATGACGCGATAATGTTACTATATTTACTATTTTTTTTATTCTTTAAGAAAGTAGGTCTGATGGTAGAATGAAACATCCAATTAATATTCATTAATATGAAATTAGTCATGAAAGCACAGTCACAGTCACATGAGATAATCTCATCTTTTGCAGGACACATGATGGAATATTAAATATTTGTACCTATTGATTTTTTTATAAAACCTGGTCTGATAGAACAAAACAAATATCAGATTCGAATTCAGCAATATGAAATTAGTTGTGTGAGCATGATCTCATATGTGAACCATTTTGGCTGTTGACCAGTGTAGGGGTATCGAGATATTAATGTTGTCTAGCACTCAGGATGGAAGGAAACTCTAATGTGGTTTTCTTGTATAATATATAAGTTATATGATAGACAGTCTGGTGCTGGAGATGCCGTGTGGTGAGGGGCTGCTTGGTAGAGACGTTCGGTGAGTAGCTTGTTGAAGGAGGTAGATGTGCAGGAGCTTCGTTAGAGAAGATGTTGCCTGTTGCTGGCCTCCTGGTTGAATGAATGCTGGACAGCTAGGAGCTTGCTGGGAGGAGGTGTTGTGTGTTCAGGAAGATGGGCTAGAATGAGAGTTGGTTGGTGAGGAAGCTCAGAGAAGGACAGCTGGTGGGTCGCCATGCTCGCTGGCAGGAGCGAGGACCGCCAGGCAGGCGAGGAGGAGCTAAGGCAGCCAGGCAGCGGCAGAGGAGGAGGTGTTGCTTGTTCAAGAAGAATGGTCTGAATGAATCTCAATGGAGAGACAGAGCTTATATACACCCAGCAGCAGCCGCCAGTCCTCTATGAGTCATGTTGGGAAAACCCGAGAAGTAGCCGGTGACTAGTTCCGTTGCTAAGATACGGTAACATCTGGGGACAGCTCTCGCTTGGTTGCTAGGCAATGGCACGTTGGAATGTGGTGGCAGGTGGTGACGCCGATACGCAGTTGTAGGCAGTTGTAGGGGGTTGTAGGGGAGACGTCCACTACAATACTCCCCCTTCCCTCCAGGCGGTGTAGGAGACTTGTTGTTTGTAGAGTTGCTTAGCACATGTGAGGCAGACCGGGCGGTGCATGCCTCATGTGAGACAACGGCGATGGCGTGATGAGCCGATCGCTGAAATACAACTGTCTAGATACACACTATCTGTGGGAGTAGGGAGAAAAAGGGTGTGTGGAGGCGATGATTGGTGTGCTTCCCTCACGACAGGTACAGGGTCGTCAGATGCGCCTGCTGGGGTGTGTGTGGGCCTGGGTCAGGAGCAGGGGCTGCGTCAGCAGAAGCGGATTAGGGCTCGTGACAGCAGCTGGGTCCACGACAGCAGCAGGGTGCAGGACATTAGCAGGGAGTACCTGAGGGAGAAAAGAGGGTGTGTGGAGGCGATGAATGTTGTGCTTCCCTCACGACAGGTACAGGGTCGTCAGATGCGCCTGCTGGGGTGTGTGTGGGCCTGGGTCAGGAGCAGGGGCTGCGTCAGCAGAAGCGGATTAGGGCTCGTGACAGCAGCTGGGTCCACGACAGCAGCAGGGTGCAGGACATTAGCAGGGAGTACCTGAGGGAGAAAAGAGGGTGTGTGTGGGTCGGATTCAGGAACAGAGGCCGCGTCAGGGGTTATTGCTGGGCCGGGGTCGGCGTCTGAGGCATGACGGGTGTGCTGGGGTCGTCAGGATGTGGTGCTTGGGGCAGGAAGAGGAGCCGGTGTCTGCTTGAAGACTGGGAGCGTGATCAGTGTCTCCTCCATCCTGTGTGAGTGCTAATCTCCGGGAGTCACCATTGTAGGGGTATCGAGATATTAATGTTGTCTAGCACTCAGGATGGAAGGAAACTCTAATGTGGTTTTCTTGTATAATATATAAGTTATATGATAGACAGTCTGGTGCTGGAGATGCCGTGTGGTGAGGGGCTGCTTGGTAGAGACGTTCGGTGAGTAGCTTGTTGAAGGAGGTAGATGTGCAGGAGCTTCGTTAGAGAAGATGTTGCCTGTTGCTGGCCTCCTGGTTGAATGAATGCTGGACAGCTAGGAGCTTGCTGGGAGGAGGTGTTGCGTGTTCAGGAAGATGGGCCAGAATGAGAGTTGGTTGATGAGGAAGCTCAGAGAAGGACAGATGGTGGGTCGCCATGCTCGCTGGCGGGAGCGAGGACCGCCAGGCAGGCGAGGAGGAGCTAAGGCAGCCAGGCAGCGGCGGAGGAGGAGGTGTTGCTTGTTCAAGAAGAATGGTCTGAATGAATCTCAATGGAGAGACAGAGCTTATATACACCCAGCAGCAGCCGCCAGTCCTCTATGGGTCATGTTGGGAAAACCCGAGAAGTAGCCGGTGACTAGTTCCGTTGCTAAGATACGGTAACATCTGGGGACAGCTCTCGCTTGGTTGCTAGGCAACGGCACGTTGGAATGTGGTGGCAGGTGGTGACGCCGCTACGCAGTTGTAGGCAGTTGTAGGGGGTTGTAGGGGAGACGTCCACTACACCAGTGTAATAGTACTGGTAATAGTAGTTGTAGAACATCATAAATATTCACGTATTAGTTGTATTAAACATATAGTAGCAGTATACCATAGCATTGAAAGTAATATTAATAGTAGTAGCGGTAGTATACAGTAATGGTAGTTGTAGTACGTAATATAAACAGTAGCAGGCGTACAGTATTAGTAGCCGGGTCCGACTAATTACCCAAATGTACCCAAATGTAGCCGCAATGAAGTCAAATAATGATCTTACATAAATAAATCGGACTGCCAATCACTTCTCGACTAGTATTTGGTGTCACAAAGTAAAAAGAAAATGGAAAACGTAATTTAATCTGAGTTAATAGATCGAGTGCATGTACCTAACCTAACACAACACAACTCAGATTAAATTAAGTTTACCAATTTTTTGTGACTTTATGACACCAAATAATAATCGAGAAGTGATTCACAGACCGATTTACGCTTGTAGAACCATCATATGACTTCATTGTGGCTACATTTGGGTAATTACTCGCTCCCTCGGTACATGCACGCCAAATACTAGTCGAGAAGTGATTGGCAGTCCGATTTATTCATGTAGAACCATTATTTGACTTCATTGCGGCTACATTTGGGTAATTAGTCGGACCGTTAGTAGCCTATTACAGTGCGGATGATTCAACATTTCACTACCAAGAACTTATTACATTGATAAATACCTGTTTACAATCTACATATTTTTCCTTTGATGATTTTCTATTTTAGAAGAAATTTCCTCGTTTTCCCTTACAACTTTTTTTTCACGAAGCTAATGATTCATTACATGCTGTGCACTTTTCATTCACATAAATATCCCGAGAGAGAGAAATTTTGCAACAAAATCCCTTCTATGCAAGCCCTGAGGCTTGGTGGAGTGACCTGTAGTTACACCACCGAGTCAAACTAACTTTTATTTGGTTATCTACATCTTACTGTTCAGCCTAGAAGCAGCAGACCCAGTACAGTATATAAGCCACACCCAAAGATTGAAAGAGAATGGATGATGAAATCTATTGACAAAATGAAGAATAATTGCAGAAATGTTGAAAGGATGACAATTATTTATGCTTGATTGAATTGAAATGAGAATGGTGAAATATATGTGTAATGTTCGGTTAAGAGATAGAAAACTGTTCAGAGTTAATGGGGTGGCTGGGCATTGGTGAGCTACCCTCAGGTGTTCATAGCTGACTCAAGCAAGCATGGAAAATGGCTATAGAATAGTTTGATGACTATGATCTCACTTGTTTCACATTATTCACAAATTTATCCTCAGACTCCCAAACAATTCTCTAACATTTGTCACTTCTCTTCCAAATCATTCACTCATGTCACCTACAGCAGCAGACTAACCTTTCATTGTTATCCTGTGTCATTATTCACACACGTTTTACTGTACTGTTTTATGAAGTAATTGATCATGATAAATCTGGATTACCTTTATCTTGCAGGTGTTTGTTGGCTCGTCATTACACCAACCCAGCAGAGAAGTGATGCACAATGATTGTTATTTAAATTCTTTTTTTAGGTTTATTTAGAAGTATGAGAAGTTTCAGTGACCAAACTATCTCAATTTCTTGTCTAGGCTTTTATCAGTATTATAAACAGTAGTGCAAAAGAAATAAAATAAAATATTCATTAACAATTTATAATGCACCCACTTTAAGTTTTAGAGATAGTAATCTTAAATACAGTTCAGTATGTAAGAAATAGAGTGCACACTGTACACTACAGTATATATATTTAAAGGTGGACTAACAGTCACCTGCCCAACGAATTACTGCACAGTATACAGGTACAGTACAGGTAATCCTGGAGAAAATCTCATAACATTCATAAAATAGAACTCTAACAAAGCAGCCTGTTGGTACAGTATTTACTCTTGGAAACCTATTCATTGTTTGTCAAGGAGACTTTAACAGTTTCTGTCTTCTCATTGTATTTCTGCTGCCAATAGCTACATTACACAGCATATACTGTACTGTACATATGCACATCTGATACACACTGTAGCTCCCCAAATGGTAACTGTTTTCAAGACATCACAGACAGGTATTGACCCCCACATACAGGTACAGTACTATGTTATATTCTAGTTCAGTGGTGAAAGTACAATACAGTACAATACAATACAGTACAGTACAGTACAGTACAGTAAAGTACAGTAGTGGTTACTTTATTTTTCTGGTTGGGAGACTGGAAGGTATCAGTGATTTACATTGGGAAATAAAGGCCCAATGCTCAGCCCAGCCCAGCCCAGCACAGCACCTTCTCTCTTTACAAGAATAAGGAATGAAAACTTCTGAAACATAAGTTGGCTTTTATTAGCAAAATTGTTTTACAGCAGTGAAGGAATAAGATTATTTTATTATCAACAAACAATAAAAGCTGCTGCAGTAACCACAGACATCAAGTGCATTGAGGGACTTTTATCACAGCCGCAACTAATTGCAAAATGTTTCATTTCTCTTCATGGTAACTCTGGTGGCTTACACAGTTAGTCAATCATCAAATATATCTGCTCAGTATTAGACAAACCACACCGTACAACAAATTGCAAGTTACGGCTGTGAATTAAGCCAGGCCCTGGAATGAAAATATTTATGCAATTACACGAGAATGAAATGAGCCAAATGAGGCTCTTCATTTGATGTATTTACAATGGACAAGAGAGAAAATGCTTAGACTTGTACAATGATCCAAAAGCCAGATCAAGAAGTAAATAAAGACTGCTTGAGACAAAGGTCAACCTCCCTTACCCAATAATATGCAAATTCGTGATCTACAATATTATATATACCTTCCTGAGCACTTTCTCCGGATGATTTTGAGATTGCAATAAACTGGACTGTAACAAGAAACTGACTGCAGCAAAACAAACAAAGACCTAGAAGTAAAGTGTTACTAGAGGTTTTACATGACCCATTTTACCTGGTAGACCCAACTAGCTCAATCTAAACTTATGAAAGGATATTGCAGATTCAACTTTTTTTTCCTACATAACATAGCCAAAGGGCTATACAATACAATACAAAAAAAAAAAAATCCATATTCACTAATTGGTATTTCATCTCGGCTATATCAGAAACGTACCCTAAAAGCTGTATACAAAGATGGGAAGACAGAAGTCACACTCACTGTAGGGTAAGCCAAAGTGGCTCTTCTGATGGGAACAATTGCAACTCAGGACTAGATGTCACAAAACGTTCATCTCTAAAAAATATGAGTGAAAATCCTCAATAAAAAAATGGACCCTTAAAAGTACTAGTATGCCATAATAAAAATTGTATTTGTCCCTTCCCTTCCCCCTGTCCTATACACAAGTTATATAAGAGTAATTTATGAAGCCCCTTGAAGTATTGTGAAGTGACATGCCAAAGGACTCACGTTATGGGATTGCCGCATGTCATATACAGTACATTTATAATCTTTGGTACACAGTGCATCTATCTTCAGTGCCTTAATGAATTGTGATGCATTGACTTAAGGTTTAAAAATCAATAATAGACTATTTTCTTCAACTTAACAATCAATATACAAAATTAAAAAGGAATAAAAAATATAGTATACTGCATACAGAACAGTACGTGTTACACATAAAACTGATCATTGCTTTGTGAGCTAAGCACAGTGTCCTGCATCACCCTCAACCACATTAATACAACTTTGTCCATCTTATAAAAGTTCAAAGTGGAAAAGAAAGATATTACAGCATGTACAGTACAGTATACACAAGACCAAGTTCTGAAACATAAAAGGCTATCAATTTCAACTGCAGAAGCAACTTGCATCCCCAATATTGCCAACATGTCAATACAGTACAGCATCAATCTCTCACTTGTGTCATGGTACAGTACTGCCGACTCTACACTTTCAATCGTCTATAACAGTACAAACATATCTTTGAGAGAGGAGGAAGTTCAAATACGCTTAAATATTTAATAAGTATGTTTACAATATTATTATTATTAGGAAAATCTGGTGGAGTTTGGGGTAGTTTAGTGAATTATGATAATTGCATGTCTTCCCATTCCTACTGGGCTTTAGGGGACAGAGATGAATTTAAAGTCTTATAATTATCAGTTACTGAATAAATTGTCTTTAAATGTCACAAATTACTGCTTCAACTTCGTGGTATATAATTTATCTTAAACTACTATATAACTGTTTTCAAAATATATTACAGTACAACATTTTAGAATAAAAAAGTATTCTCGTTTCTCAGTAAAATTACTAATCATAAAATATGTTACCACACCAGATCAAATTATCTAGTGACGGTCAGTCATTAATAACAAATAAATAATACAGACCAGCCTCTCTTATTTCAAGTAAATTTGCTAAGGTTTAGCTGTGCAATTTAATATTATGATGGTAATACCTTGTAAACTATAATTCTTGTTCAGTATCATTAAAATAAACAATTGTTCATAACTCACAAACAACAATGAACAAGTTACAGTGATTAAAACTGAATCATTGAGAACTTAAAAGTTTGACAATATCCAAAACACTTCAGAAACTAACTATAATTTCTTTTCACCAGTTTTCATATCCAATAAACTGTCTCGAGTGCTACAGCAAACACAATACAGTATCTATAATAACAGTTGTTGTTGTTATCCCTTACTTTACATGAAACTGAAGCTAATGAACCTCAGGTATTTTGATAACTGGAAATTGTGTTGAAGGATTGTCTTTACAGGTTGTGCGTACAAGTGGGTAGGGCGGTGGTGTAATGTTGTGTAGGGCGGTGGTGTAATCGTGACAAACAGTAGTGGCTTTTAGGGAGAGTTAGATATTGTATTGACATTGGTTAAGGAAGGGTGGTAACCATAAAGGAACCTGGAAATCTATACAGTATTCTCATATTTATAGGTTGTGTGGTTATTGAGATACTGTACTCTCCAGCATAATGTTTGATGGGAGGAAGTTGTGAAGGTGTTTGTAGATCATTGTGTTGGTAGGTATAGGTGGGATACTGTTGAGTGTAGTGTAGTGCTGAGATGAAGTGTTTAGCCTGGAGGTCAGGGTGGTCTTCTATGGGGAGAATTCCTGAATCACAAGGTAGGTAGGTGTCTAATACTTACGGTTTCAGCACAACCTGATATAGTTCTGCATTTTTTTATTTGTGGGGGGGGGGGATCTTATGAAGCTTCAAGCTATTGCAGTATGTAAACAGTCATACAAATATTCACTCAAGAAAAGAATACATCGCATCACACAAGCACAAGTTAAACAATGAAAAACTGTAAAAAAAAAAAAAAAATACGTAAGTGTGAGACTTTTTTTCTAAGCACAACTTAGTTGAAAATAAAATAAATTTGTGCAACTTTCAGCAGTGAGCATTTTTTCTGAATGATGAACAATATAGCTGAGTGACAAGTGACAATAAATTTCCAGAAACAAAGTAGTAAATGTATGGTGCTATCACCTTTGGCATCATGGTAGCTGTCCTCAATAACTGATACAGTTGTCTCAAAACTAAACCAAATATGAAAAACCCAATAAACAACTTTCCTCCAGCCACACTATAGTCAACACTGTGGTATGATACACAGCATATAAAAAAATAAAACTGTTGACACCGAAATACATTTTCCTTTTTGCCATTTAGACTAAGACAAGAATATCAATCAAGTTAATACTGTACCTCTTTTGAGACAAACTTGGGTAAAGTATTAGTTTTCTTCCTTGTGTGACCTATTCCATCCTGATGCACCATAACTCAAGGCAAACTTATGAACTCCCAGTCACCTTTAACATAAACATCTCATAGTCCTGCAGTAAAGTGTTATTTCTTGCACTGCCCTCCAAAGATCATAAAAACAACAGTGCAGCAATAATGGTGGTCATATACAATTAAAATGTACCACATGTCAGTTGTCCCACAAACGTAATGCACAACAACATGTAAAAGTTCTTCATATAAGTATTTTGTCTTACAGACATACAAAAAAAAAATTCTGATATATATAAATATATATATATATATATATATATATATATATATATATATATATATTATATATATATACAGAAAATAATAGCTGCATTATATCAGAAGCACAATACTTTTGGTTCCCTCATCATATTACAGGTTTTATAACATCTATTACTGTACTCTGTTGATAACATACAAGTAATAAGTTATTGTACTCCTAACACTTGGACTACCAGTTTGGAAAAAGATATCCACAGTTAGGTAGAACTGGTAATGACTGCACAACATACAGTCCCCACAGCTCACTCATTCTACTCACCAATTTCACAATTTTTGACATAACTTACCAACTTCGCAATAATGTTCCTAGCATGAGTAAAGTGACATATACACCCTTCATGTTCACCATATCACTGTATCAATTGGCCCAGTTATAATCCCTTACTGGTCTATCAACTGTTAACAACCCAACCCTGTTCAAGAATTAACTTAATAGCAATTATTACATACAATAACACCTCACTCAGTCACACTTCAGAGTTCACATTTTTTTATATATTGTTTTAATATATTAATTTCACAGTTTTCTGACAATACTGTATTAAAAAAAATAAAAATGGTAAAAAAAAATATAAATTTGATCAAACCAACTATTGGCATGTGGTGGTGTCCCATGCATCATAATTTACACAATAAATCGTCTGCAAGTCTTCAGTCCCTAAGGAGTGTGAGTTTCTGAGGTTTTACTGTATTTCAAGCAATTATTACATTCTATTAAGAGACTTTCTAAAGATTTGACCATAATCCTAGCGATCAGATCACATTGTTGAGGTGATACATTTGAATGAACACTTTACCCAAAGGCCCACAACCATTATAATATATATGTAGTCCAGTCTGGTATACAGCACAGTGCAGTATACCCAAGTCCAGTAATCCACATAAAAACAATAAATAAATAGTATTACCAATCAATCCTGCTTCTACCACACTTTGCACTACACTACTGTACTGCTGAACACATGGACATAGTTCCTCAACAAAAGACTGGGTCAAATTGGTTATCCACTCCAAGCAAAGCAGAGGAGAAACTGCAGAAACTTACCACGGGTCAGCAATATGAAGCCTTGAGTGGCTGCTCATTAGTGTCTCCTGAACACAGCTCTTACAATGGAGAATTATCACATGGCTGAGATTCAATGAGACAGTCTGCACACAACTTGGTCTGCAGTGTCTTATAATAATAAAGGCTAAATAAATAATATATTTATATATATTACATCATGATTTGAAGTCTTAATATTATTGTTCAATATGTACATCCATTATCTCCTAAACCATAACAACAAAATATTTGAGCCACATAAAATGAAATCCACATCTATCAAGGCAGCTTTTAAGATCTAAGAAAATAGAATATAAAATTTTGCCATGATAAAAACAATGCCCTGCTGCAAAATGCATAGGCATTCAAGACTATTATTCATACACAAGACTGGATAATGCCAGTACACTATAGACATATCCCAAATTAAATTAAATTAAAAAAAGAAAAGTGTCAACAAAATAAAAGACATTATTTACAAGCATGTTAATCACACTCTTAATAGCCCTCACCACCACACACACACAACCACTGGCTGTGTTCATAGTGCACAGTGACCATCACAGATTCTGAGCCACACCTACAATTTATATTACCACTATCAAACCGAACACACAACCGCATCTCTCGCACATTGCCTTATATACGGACTTCTATTCACATAACCTTCTGTAAACCGTTAGGTACGATCTGTGATGCCACGAATTCTTTAAAAAAAAATGACAAAAACTTTTATTTCATCAGCAGCATACCGACTACAAGTTTCCCACCAGCACACTACTTTATCATTAACAAAGAAGCATCGAAACTACAAGTTTGTGTACTAATACTGCAGTCCATCAAAAGGAACCTTACCATTCCATGCCTAATACACAAAGTTTAAATGAATACTTTGTAACTACAGTATAATATTAATCTTAGGCAACCCTGCTTTGAGTGTAAGACATAGCATACACATTATATATGAAGATATATAATAGCTACCTTATTTGATTTTCTATATTTTTCCTCCTGTGCCACTAGAGTACACCTTTACTATCAATGACGGTTGTTATTTGATCTTCACGGTGATTCAGAAGCTTCACTGAATACAACTCCATGACCTTGGTAACTGACCGCCATGGAATTAATGCCTAATGCAAGAACACATTACAGTATTCAGTATATTTGATCTATGCTGTTTCTCTCAGTAACAAGCTCAGGTATAAACAACTACATATTTACGTCACCTATCAATTATTTGGACAAGCCAACAATGGAAGTATTAAATGTTACTTGAAGTTACAATAAAATATAACTACACAGTCTAACTTTTGTCTAATCTATACCAACCATTCTCCAATATTATGATTCCCAGTTACCGGCTACTTACACCACTCCGTATTAATATTTACTCATCTTATCAGTGTGGTAAATATGAGGCTCACTCCATCTGGTTCATCACCATCAAAAGTACAATGGTAGTGTTAAAGAAAACTATCAAAACACATACCAGACACTCCTTCAATACCAAGGCTAACGTTTAATTCTCAGACACCGACTACCCGAGGACTTAATAATGTGACACGTTGCCCCATAGTCTCCTATCACTTTCACTTGGAGACGAATACAATTAACTTTTTCACTTATTAATTTGCAGATCTCTTCCATCACGACTACCTGTGAAAAGTATTTATATCACCTATATGAACGTTCCTTAAATTCTAATTGCGTTAAAACAATTGCAAACCGAATGAATTTAACGTCAGTGAGAGAATTAAAAACCTTAGCACCTACTGGTATGGGGAGCACCTGCCACCGCTCCAACAATAACACGGCCCCGATCACTGGTTTGCACGTGAGTCAACAGTGTGTCCTCTCTTTATGACATACATACTGATACAAGTATGAATCAACAATGTATATCTTTTTATGGATCCATATTGGAAACATCAAGGCACAAATAACAGTGTTCGAGGCATCTGAATACAGCTGTATGTGTACTAGATTTCACCATCTTTGACTATATGAATATCTTTCTGGTTGAGAGGGAAAAAACGTTTTTTTAGGAACATTGTAAAGTATTCCAAAGACCGTAGTACAGTGCTGTACTGCCAATTTGCAATCGTGTCACTTAATTAAAACAAAATATATTCTCACTCGATTAACAGTGATATTACTAAAACAGCCGATCAAGAATTTAATATTAACTTTAAATTTAACTGTTTTCATTTAATCTGAAATGATTTTCTGAATTTTGACCAACCAAAATTTATCTTCTGGGAAAAAACAAAAAACAAAAACAGGTGTTCCATCTATCAACTATAACTAAAACGGAGGAGAGTTTCCCACAAGGTTTTCCATATGTTAGGTATTGTACACAAAATTAATCCAGGAGGAAAATGGACAATGGCAAATATCTAGACACAACACATATGAAATTCAGTAATGTGTATATATTGGTGGAGGGTGGCGAGGCAGGTGTTAAATACATGTGTCAGGTGAATGGCTGGAATAAGGTTGCTTTCCTCTTGATGTTTTATTTTTGTTGACGTCCCCTTTAGCTAGTGTTATGGGGTCGTTGCTACACTTGCGTGGATTACCGAGAGTCACAAGTGTGCTGGCAATCGCCAAACCACCTGGGGAAAAAAATATGTAGATCAGTTTCATGAATCAAAAAATTATCTTACATTATATCAATATAACTTTTCAACATGCAACATCCCACCAACAATTTCTTTTTTAATAAGTGAAGTTCTACATCTTGTACAGTCACTCAAAACCTATCTATACAAAATTGTGTTGAGAAAATATGACACAACGGACGAAAGATTTTGACGACCCTACCAAAACAACAGGAGTCGCAGTGTTCATTCTGAAATTCATCGATCACCCCAAGTAGAGATAGTTTTTTGGGTTACTGTACAAGCTGAACACCTCCGGTAGTGATGTATTAAGATGTGCAGGTAGCTTTTACATCACCTTTATATACTTTTCTCAGGAATATAAACCACTGTACCTTTACCATTAACACTAAAAGAGGGAGACCTGTAGATGAAGTGCCACATTAATACTGCTGGGATTTGGGACATACAGTACCTGGGTGTCCTATGGGTGTATAAGGTTCTCCGCCAGTGGGAAGTTGCACGAGGAGGGAGAGGACGGCAGCACGGTTACCACAGCACGGCTCCAAGGCAATGGGACTTGGGTTGACCTAGAAAATAAATAATATTCCTCAATCTGCATCATTAAAAAAGAATCTTGAATGTAAACATTTGAATCTTTTGGATATGAATAAAAATATAAATTTTGCCAATGGGCTTTTAATGCAATATGTCATTTGACAAAAGTGAAAACCTATAAAAATTTAAAAATAAAATATAATATATAAAAAATCTGCCAATACTGTACCTTCTTCTTTATCTTGAGTGTGTTGAGACTGTCTAACAAATCAGAGGAGAGACTGTCTGGTGATGTTGAATTGGGGATGACTTTATTGGCACTGTTGTTACAAAATTTTGAATTATCTTTGTTTGAAGCCTTTGTGATGACATTGGAAGAAAGACAGGGGATGGCAGTGGAGGTGGCATTGGGCATGGCCCCATTTGTTCCCGTTACACAGCAATTGCTTGTGACTGTGTTGGTCGTAGAGGTCGTTATGGAGGTGGTTGTTGTAGTAGTAGGAGTGGAGTCGTTAGTGTCCAGGACCTCAGCGTCCGCACCCCTCGGATACAGTTCCAGAAGAATGGGGCGGAATGGACGAGACGCCATGGCTTCCATCTCAACCAACAGACGCTGTTGGGGTCGTAGTGGCTATCATTAATGATGTGTGCCGTAGACGTGATGAAAGTTATCGTATAGGGAGGAAACGCTACGCTAATTACCTTTAAGAACCAACACTTCACGCACCATATATTAACCTAGCCTTAATGAATTCTCTCTCTCTCTCTCTCTCTCTCCCATAGTTATTTCTCTACCACCTCTTTGCCTCTCCACTAACAGAACCCAGAAGTTGTCACTGTGGGGAATTATTCTGTTATGATGTGTTGATATAACTACCAGCTACATCAATGCCCCTGGACAAAGCTAATCCTTCTCACCTGGTGAATACTTGCTGACTAACTCTGAAAAATGGCATAAGGATATAGTTACCTGTCTCCTGGTATAGATGTCGTATTTCTGTTTTATTTTCCATAGTATTGCAGCCAAAGTTAACAACACTAAAAAACATCTGAAACAGCAAAATAACATAGTATTAATGTCATGTACAGCCAGAACATTAAAAGAAGCAGTACAGTATCATAAAAAAAAAAAAGTTAAGTAAAGAATCTTAACCCCCCCCAAAAAAAAAATTACTCAAACATTTAATAGTACTTTTAACTAGATTCTAACATACATACATACATACAGTACAAACATAAACATACATACAATCTAGCATATGCATACATACAAACATACATACATAAACATACCTGTACATACATACTTACATATGCATACATACTTACATAAATACATACATAGAAATGAAGCAACACAATAATACTTACAAGGAAAATATGGAAAAAAACTGAATTAGATCAAGTTTAGGATGTTGGGAGAAAGACACAACAATCTCTATAGGAGGAGTAAAGTTATAGACGTAGACGTGAAAGGTCGTGTTGTTATCTGCTGATCCGAAAGTGTAGTCCGAGGCGCTGAATCTCCGCTTAATTCTCGTACCTGTGTAGTTGCGTATTATCCACGACTCATGACTCCGAGCTGAAAGTGACGACAGAGACAAATAACACTAATGCAAAAGTCCTCCATATACACTACTACAATGTAAGATGACTAACTTTTAATCCAATGGATGCCATTTTTAATATTCTATTTGGTTAACCTGTATCTAGTACTATAAGAGATGTTTTATAATTTATATTAAACAGCTTAAATCCTAACCTAACCAAATGAAAAAAAAAAACACAGTCACTAACTTGTTTTCGAAGATATTTTAATTTTTGTGGCTTTGGAGCAGTAAATGTCGAAGTCAGTGTCTACATCACTCTTGGTTGGTACGTTGAAGAAGTTGATTTGACGTATGTGACGATCTTCGATTTTGGAAAGGTTGAATGTGAACTGGTAGTCAATTTGAAGGTCATCTGGGGGTGACACAAAAAATACTTACTGTACTGTATGTAGCATGATTAGGATTTTTCATGATACCTGAATTTGTTAGTATGAAAATCTGCAAAAATCTGAGAATCAATATTCTTAACTTTAGCACATTGTCTCTTCACTTGTTACTATCCTGTTCATAATAAATGTGTGCATTTGTTTTTACATGGAGAATATCAGCCATGATGCGGCCCCTTACATTACAGGTGTATATTTTTAAATCCACACACAGTACATGTCAAAGTAGTCGACTCATGGCACCTGTTACCTCAAGCGGTACATAATTATGATGACATATAAACAAATGTTATGTTAGGCTGTAAGTCATGTCATGTTTATTGGGCGTGCTTGCCCGTATACAGTATGTAGAGTGTTGAGATGGTTGAGGATGAGAGACCTAGAGGAGGTGAGGGTTGGGGAGGTGGCAATGTGTATCACTGTAGCTATTCAGACCAGAGGCAACACCTAACCTGGTTTCTCTTGAGACTTTCAACATGTAAGTTTAACTGGTACTTATTGTGTACACAGGTAGACTGTGTCCTTTGCTTCGTTTATCATTGTGACGACATAATACAATAATATGGAAACTTAAGTACTCATTATAAGTGTTAAGTTTAGACTGATTACATAGCTATGATTGTTATGTAAATATATATTGGATTAGACATTCATGTGATTGCCTATGTATGTTTTATGTGAAATACTAAAAGGAATTGTATCCAACACGTTTCACCAAATTATAATGTTTGAGTCCAACGTTACAAGTTTCAATAAATCCACTAATCGTCTGATTGGCGGTTATAGTCAAACGTGACGGTCTACTGTGTAGCAGAAGGAGCTAATCAGAGCTAACCAAGGTCAACCCAACTCAACCCACTGGAGGGATGTACATCCGCGTGTGTTCTCAGTGCCATGGAGTACAGTGCAATGCCCGTAGATTTATCTTGGTGATAATATTTTGAACCTTTGTTATTGAAGAAAATAATGTTGTCAGAGTGAGCTCAGCCACTCTCAGTGTAGCTTGGCTCACCAACACGCGTCACTCGAGGGACGAGTGTGTGCGTGTGGGTGTGTGTATCCAGTGGCGAGAAGTGCAGTGCAACGTCCGTATACTTCTCGCATCGATAATAGCTAAACCTGGTTACTCCAGAAAATAGTCTTGACTGAAGTGATACTGCTTTGTAAATAACCCAAATATCAATGTAAAGTTTGGAATGATATCAGGTGCGAGTGTTAGAGTGGGCTAAGTGAGTGCCTGGTCGACGGTAACGAACGCAATTCAAGTTACCTGAATAAGCAAGATGTCGGAGTGGGTCCTGAGGGCAGCGACAGTCACAAGAAAGCGATGAAGCTAAATACCACCAGCCTGAGGGCAGCGACAGTCACAAGAAAGTGACGAAGCTAAATACCATCAGCCTGAGGGCAGCGACAGTCACAAGAAAGTGACAAAGTTAAATACCACCAGCCTGAGGGCAGCGACAGTCACAAAAAAGTGACGAAGCTAAATACCATCAGCCTGAGGGCAGGCAGCGACAGTCACAAAAAAGTGACGAAGCTAAATACCATCAGCCTGAGGGCAGCCTGACAGTCACAAGAAATGACGAAAGCTAAATACCACCAGCCTGAGGGCAGCGACAGGCACAAGAAAGTGACGAAGCTAAATACCACCAGCCTGAGGGCAGCGACAGTCACAAGAAAGTGACGAAGCTAAATACCACCAGCCTGAGGCTAAATACCACCAGCCTGAGCGACAGTCACAAGACCACCAGTGACGAAACTAAATACCACCAGCCTGAGGGCAGCGACAGTCACAAGAAAGTGACGAAGCTAAATACCACCAGCCTGAGGGCAGCGACAGTCACAAGAAAGTGACAAAGCTAAATACCACCAGCCTGAGGGCAGCGACAGTCACAAGAAAGTGACGAAGCTAAATACCACCAGCCTGAGGGCAGCATAGTCACATGAATGTGACAAAGTTAAGGAGCTGACGAATATTACTAGCCTGAGGGCAGCGATAGTCACATGAAAGTGACAAACTTAAATACCAGCAGCCTGAGGGCAGCATAGTCACATGAATGTGACAAAATTAAGTATCAAAGGCCTGATCTGTTTATTGGGCGTGCTTGCCCGTATACTGTATGTAGAGTGTTGAGATGGTTGAAGATGAGAGACCTAGAGGAGGTGAGGTGTTGGGTGGTAGTAAGGGAGCTTGTTTGTGTATAATCGCCTGACTCAGCAGCCCTCACCCATCGAGAGAGGGTTGGGGAGGCGGCAATGTGTATCACTGTAGCTATTCAGACCACAGAGGCAACACCTAACCTGGTTTCTCTTGAGACTTTCAACATGTAAGTTTAACTGGTACTTATTGTGTACACAGGTAGACTGTGTCCTTTGCTTCGTTTATCATTGTGACGACATAATACAATAATATGGAAACTTAAGTACTCATTATAAGTGTTAAGTTTAGACTGATTACATAGCTATGATTGTTATGTAAATATATATTGGATTAGACATTCATGTGATTGCCTATGTATGTTTTATGTGAAATATTAAAAGGAATTGTATCCAACACGTTTGACCAAATTATAATGTTTGAGTCCAACGTTACAAGTTTCAATAAATCCACTAATCGTCTGATTGGCGGTTATAGCACCAGTTACACTTGGCAGGTATTATGAACACAGACACTGGAGACTTGCCATCTGACATGGTAGCCACCCAAGATAATTTCATGTCAAACCTCTCTCCCTTCCATGAAACAACCTGAGACTCATGAACCTTTGAACCCGAGACATCACAAATAGTTGGGTTCACTGATGGTGCACTGTGTGATGTTTCAAATTCACATGATTGATGGGACTGACAGGACTTTTTTTTTATGGTGGGTGCACAAGCCTCGAGAATACTTACAGAAGCAGGATCCTTGGAGTGGCTCACCGACATAGTTGTTCTGTGTGTCACAACGTTCACAGTGATCGCCCGTCACTCCTTTGGTGTTGCAGTTGCATCGGCCCGTCTCCCTGTTGCATGTGTCACCATGTTCATTGCACATACAAGCTGCAATTAATAAAAAGAATCATCAGCTTTTGTTTAATCATCCAGATTCCATTCACACACATTCAAATACAGGTAGTTCTGCTATAACGCGATAACTGTGTTCTTGTAAAATATCGTGTTATAGAAAATCGCGTAATAGAAATAACAGGGCTTATGGAGAAAATAGGGTTAGGTGCAGATTAATCGAAATCGAAAAAATTTAGTAGTTAGCCTAACACAAAGGATAGCACAGTCTAAATAAATGTTACATTCATATCTAATAATGAAATCATACAGTAAATGTAACACTTTACTTGATGGTGGAGAAGGGTGATTTTGAGGTTGATAAAATCGAGCTTCTCTTCAAGTGTTATATCCTTTCTTTTACGATCATCACCGGGAATTCTATCACCAGAACGCTTCTTGTTGATATTCTTCTTTACTATATTCACAGTTAATACCACAAAATTGGAGAAATAGTAAGCAAAAATCGCGTTATAGCAAACAAGCATTCGCGTTATACAAATATCGTTCCTAATTCATAAATCGCGTTATCAAAACACGCGTTATAGCAGAACTCACTGTACTCTAGTTTACGGAGGAGAGGCTTGTCTACACCCAAAAGAGGAACAAAACACCCGACTGTAATCGTGGGGCCCACTGCCTCAGAGAAGAGAATAAAGAGTGTTGTCCCTGGCTACATATGTATACTGTACAACAGACCCTCATTATTTCAGTTTGATTCTTCAATTTTTCCAGGATATACTACAGTAACCTAAATCACTTCCATTTTCCTGTAAATCCATAAAAATTAACGTAACAAACAAACTAAAATTACCCTACACCTAATACAGTACACTGAAGGTTTATGCTGGCTGCTAGAGTAAATTACTGCACCTGAACAACAAAGGTCTTAAAAGCATAACGAGGTTAGTGATCATTGTATATTACTTTTCAAAAACTGAAGAGTTGAAGAGGTTCATTAATGTGTGACAGTTGATTGGTTATATGAGCCCATATTCTGAGGTCACCCTGGTCATGACACCAAGAACAAGCTATCCTTTTAAACCTCACCTAATCTAACTCAACCTAACCTAACCCAACCTAATCTAACTTAACCTCACCTAACCTCTATACAGTACATATCTCTCATGAACTGGGTATCATTACTCTATTGTGTTGTTTAGTAATGGAGTAAAATTATTTAAAAGAGTTTGTTTTGTTAATGTGTGGTGTCAGGAGTGAGGTGCGTGGCATGGTATGTCAGCCTGCCATCGAGGTGAGTCATGGGTGAAATATATGTCTTAAGGGATTTATTATTTCACTGCAGTCCTGTACCACAATCACACAGTAGTTCTTGGTCCAACTGTTGAGATATATCAAAAGTCTCCTGTATTACTGACTAACTTCACCTCATCTATTGCTACACCTCTACAATTATTCACTAACAATATTTTCAGGAACAAAGAGTGAATATGAAGTATATCTCAGAGCAGTACGGTAAAACATAACTTACGTTGACAAAGGCCGCCGTTGATGGGTTTCCCAAAAAACTTTTCAATGCAGTATTGACAGTGAGATCCCGCAGTGTTGTTGGCACATGGCAAAATGCACTGGCTACCATTTTCACATTTGCTGTGACCATTGCAGTTACACACTGAAAGAACAGGTTATAGATCATAGTTTATATCCAGAATAATAGCTTATTCATACAGTAATTATCTGTGACTTATAAAGTGTTGACAGTGAGGTCTTTAACCAATACCTAAGATGACACTCTTATCATATTACTGTACTGTATTACTGTCAAGTAAAGGAATATGAAGAAAGAATTAATCAGTTCATTTAATATCTGGGAAAAAAGTGATGCTTTCCTATTAAGTGTAATGTAAAATAACCAAAAGACAACTCGGCAAATTTCCTGTCCATTTCTCTCTGCCAACCTATATATGATATTAATGTTCTTGTTAAGAATTAGGGTTAAGGTTCTAGTAGACACAAGGAGCGTAATCTTATTAAACACTTTCACATTTTTGGCAAACACAGGAAGTACGTGAAGCACCAATCTGATAAAAATGGAGAATTACAGTACATACTGGACATAAAGGCAATTCAACAAAGATTTACATAGATATTCAGTGAAGAACCAGTTTGATTTGGGACACTTGTTAGAGACAATTCAATTGATAAAGAAACTTACGTGGACATTCAGTGAAGAACCAGTTTAATTTGGGACATTTGTTCTTCTGCATAATACCGGTGACAGGATTGATGGGTCCTCTCTGTCCCCCCTCCATGCACATTCCAATGCCTGTACCACTACCATCGTCACACCACCCACATGCCACGTCTGCCTGGCACTTTTTGCACGTCTGGTGAATGCTACATCTACTTAATCCTGTAAAAAGATTTAACGTGTAAACTTCAAAACCGATCCATCATCTAATCCATTAATCCTCTCAGTTTTCTTCACATCTCTTGAGGGACCTAGTCTTAAATTTATTCATTGACCTCAGTCTCTGCCTTCCCTTAACCCTCTTACCTTCAGTTTTATCTAATTTTTTTATTTGAACATTATGAACTAAAGTTACTCTCTCACCCGGTTCCACACCAATACACCTCTTGGATTCTGTGGTCCACTCCCTGCACTGACCATATGGGAAGCTGACCAAGTAGGAGTTATTGTTGACACATCGCTGCTGGTTGAAGCACCACATACATGACCCCTACACACACAAAAAAAAAAAGAAAGAAAGAAAAAAAGTCAGACAAAAAATCCATTCCTGTATATAATTTATTGAGAAAACACAGCTCATTATCATATCACATTTTAAGGTAGTATATAATATAATACTGTATATGATGATGTATGGTTGTAATATACGGTATACTGCAAAATTTTTCTGCTAGATCAAGATATACTGTGTTCTTAAACAAAATGTATTAATTGATAAGAGATATTGTTTACCTTTGTCTCTGTACAGTTAGAACACGAAGTCCTCTGTGCACAAGTAGGTTCACACGGTCTATGAGAGTGTAGTGCGTTGCGAGTACCACCGCTCACCGGTGACTGATGGTCTGTCTGATCAATAGATGGGGTGCTGGGGATATCTTCCAGTGATAGATTGGGAGCTGTTTCACCCAGAGCTCCAGCAGTGGAAGTTCTGTTTGGCGCAACGAGACACTGATGCTCCAGCCAGTCACAGTGTTGGTGAGCGCGGCAGAGAGGACAAGTGTTGAGGGACTTACAACGAGACCGCAGATTATCCTCACAACCTTCGCCACTGGCCACACCCTGCACAGCAAATACACTTTATATTTAACACCGACAGTATAGTGTATGTTAACATCTAAGCATAAAAAAATCTAATAACAGTTAATGACATTTGTTACTTAAAACTGAGTATCAACTTAAACCTTTGACATATTTGTGGTAATTATCTTCTAAAAAATACTATTTCTTTTAAACAATAATGAACTAGTTCACTCTCCCTTCAATAATTCACCAAACATTTAAGTAACCACAACATATTCAAGTATTTTTATAATATTCCACCATCTATTCTTCAAAGCTTAATGTTATACCTATTTTCATAATGATTTAACACATTAAATAACTGTGGCACAGCTGAGTATTGTTTTTGGTCCTGTTTTTCTGTCAGTCTGTCTGTCTTTCCCTAAAATAACTCCAGAATGGGTTTCCTAAAGTTGATTAAGTGTTGCCACATAATGATAACATACAGTACAGGTATAGGGTTTTTAGGGGTTAAAGAAGACAATAACATGAAAGTCTCCAGGGATGACTACAGTAACAGCATCACTATTTCAATATTTGCCCTGCCGGGGAAATGGTTTGTGGGGATGATTTATATCTGGTCAGATGATATTTAATTATATTTTGATGCTTTAAGTAAGGTATCAACAAGATATAATGTATATTGTTTACCAGTTGGTTTAGTCACTACCAACAACCTTAGCCTGAGTGAAAATGACTGAACATTTATCTCTTCAACAATATAGTATGACAGTCCTAAGGTGATCTCTTACATAAATAAAAATTGTGTAACAGTAACACATTCAAAGTTGAAGTTCAGATAACTCAAATCTTAACATCCTGTATGCTGTGTGTAAGTCCTTCCCACAAATGTGAGGATTATGTTTTATTGGAACAGGAGCTCCAGTCTTTTTCATGCATACCAGCCTTTTGCTGCTAAGATGCAGGATAATTGCACAATTGTTGATTTCATAAGTCTTAGCATTCAGCAGCTAATGGATTCCAAACACCTTGGAAGAATGCTAGACTGCTAGTGCACTGAAATATTGTTCCAAAAATAGCAAGCATACCTTTTAGTTTACTTATTTCAATGCCGAGTCTGCAGGTGTCTGTGTTCTGTATAAACAACAACTTTCACTTAGGCTGGATATTGAACCCAAGATGTTTTACTTGTGAAGAAATGTTTCACCAGTGAGGTATGAAGTCACATTCGGTATAACTGATTAAGATCCAGGAAAAGTACCACAATTTAATATTCTGTACAGTACTGTGTCTCATCAGGGTGTGGCTGCTGAGTGGAAAGAACACTTGCCTCCTATTCTAAGGGTCACTGGTTTGATCCCCTGGCACCCAAGTCCACCCACAATTGGGATAGTGAAGACAGTCAAGTGCAATACTGGCCAAGCTGCTTCCTTGTGTACTGAAGGCTAAGTAGACAATGTGTTGTATTCACACTGGCTCTCAGGCCCATGACGCCCACTTTCACTTTCTTACTTTGTCTAGCGATGATACATATTAACTTGATGTCTCAGCAAAATAGGTGTATTCATAGAGGTTGTGTTCCACATGAATGATAACACTCACTCATACCTTTGACAATATTTTTGCATGAGTAATGTTGCTTTAAATACCATAAGAGTAGTAAAGTACTGTACTGGGGCAGTGACCACCGCAGTACTGAACACATCTGATATACTGTAGTAGTTATATAGACTGAATGATAAGGATGGAAGAGAGAGTCAGGTGTGTTCCATTGTTTGTGTTCTGTTAACTGCTTGCAATAATTATTATCATAATTTCTGTAAAGAAATTTATAGAAAACTAGAAAACAGAATAAATCTTTAACATTTCAATAGATTCACAATGCAAAGCCACTGTTATATTTACTGATATACAAAGCAATAATTACAATCCAATTTTCATATTAATATTCTAGAGACAAAGTAGAGCTAAGGACACACGATGCCTGAAGCAAAGCAAAACATTAAATATTAAACAAAATAAAAACATGCTCCTGCACTGCCAAATTGTGTAGCAACATACTGCACAAATTCCATCCACAATTTTCTTAAAACCACAACCATTAAAACTAACATGCACTACTACAAAACAACTACCTATATCTGCCTGTTAACATTTTTCACACTAACACATAACTCTTCTCTATCATATTTTTGTATGTGCTATGGCCAATTTTCCTTTATCTTGACTCAAATAGATGTCAAAGTCAACATACTGTTTTCTTGATAAATTTTCCCACATTCAAACAAGGGTCATGCAGCCATAATTTTCCCTGAGCAGGGCAGCAAGTGACCATCTCAACACCTTCCAGTTTAAAAAGTCAATTCCACTGTCCATCATATGCTGAGGAATTCTTTGTGGTACTTTGACTATATGACAAGTGAACCATTTGCTAACTGCTTACAGGTACAGAACTTTATATTACAAGATGAGAATATGAGGAGAGGAGAAATAATACAGCAAGAATGACTAGAAGGAAGGATTCACCATAAATACCAGGAATTATTCTTGGAAACACAGTACTGTAAATGATGAGAAATATCACTAACCTCAAGCAGAAATTTATTTTTTACTATAAACTGTATTTCCTTTAAATCTTTCCCATCGATGGTCGCACTTTATAAATCCATTCTGGCTACCATCAGATGATTTTATTTAGCTTAGGGGAACCCCCAGGAGCCAAATGGTTAAGAGATTCTCACTTCTGTAAATTAGTTGCCACGATACATATACATACTGTACAATAGATGATCATTGAGGCATTTCCCGGGATATTTAATAAAAAGAAGCAAAACTAGAGGCATGAAGCATGAGGTTTGATTTTGTTGGTGAAGGGAAGAGACGAGTGATCTGAAAGCCTGACACGGCCATGTACAAGTTGCAGGCTAAAATAATGTACTGTCCTAAAAGACTTGTGTAAACTAATTACTGAGCTCCTCACCCGGTGAACCAATAATTCACACTGCACCTTTCCCCAATATAACATAGAAGACAGAAAAATACTCCATATTAAATGACGATAACTCAAACACCTTGTTCTGTACCCGTCCCCCAGGAGTGGTGGACGTGACCAAGGGAGATGCGGTCAAGACCAGTTGTGTTCCTAGTGTACATTGTCCCGTGAACCTTCTTACATAAACAATTTCCAAACAATAAAGGAATAGTGTTACTGTATTACCCCTCCAAGAGAGAAAGCCCACTGCACACATTATAGTGTTCAGTAATCCAAGAATTTCATATAATATTGCCACTAATTTAGTGTGTGTTGGATCAAAGGCTACATAAAACCTGACACAACTAGAAATATCCAGGCACAATTATTAACTTGCATATATAGTACAGGATATGTAGTATCATAAGTGATGGGAAAACAAACACAAACAACTAGCGACTGAGGGGCTGGAGATGGTCATTAGCCAAAGTGTTCAATGAGGAAATAGTTCATATAACAAAGATATACACACCGACAGACAGGCATACACACACCGACAGACAGGCATACACACCAACATACAGGCATACACACACTGACAGGCAGGCAGGCACGCACGCACATACACCAACAGACAGGCACACACACACACACACACACACACCTACAGTAGGTGTTAATGTACCTGAGGATGTGGAAGCTTTGTGGGTTCAGGTCACTCCCACCCCCTTGCCTCCCTCATTGTTTGTGTTTGTTATCACCCCCCGCGCGCACCAACCGTCAATGTACTGGTTACTCATATAATAGACACTGCCAACTCCCTGAGATCCAGATTTCCATGTGCTAAACTAGTAATATGTGGTGACTTTAATTAGTTAAACATCAGTAACATCACCCAACACCTCCGCCTTGCACAAATAGTTGACTTTCCAACACATGGGAATGCCACCCTGGACCTCATCATGACTGATCTCGGCAACTACTACCTTACCCCCAGCCGCTGTCTCCCATGGGGCGCAGCCCCCACCTGTCTGTACTGTGGTCACCTACACCTACCACCTCACGACCGCCAGTTGTCACCAGGACTTACCGACCTACCCCTGACTCTGCCATGCGCCGTTTCGGACAATGGGTGACCCGGTATCCCTGAACTGAAGTGATCACGGTAGACGATGTGCAACAAGTGGGATAATTACCTGGACACTATCACCAAAGCCTACCACCACTTCTTTCCAGCCAAGACACTGAGGATCCACCCCGATTATGTCCCGTGGATTAGAACCCGTATCAAAAGACTAATTGAGCAGCGCAACACGGCATACTACACCAACAAACGCCTGTACAAAAGTCTATGTAACCTCATCAGGGAAACAAAGTCAGTCAAGAAGTATTATTATCCCAGGAAAGTACACGGCCTCAAGGAGGTCAGCATCGGTCAGTGGTACTCTTAAGGTATAAGATCTCTGAGGTCTTAACCATCAGACTCCCACACTTCCTTTCATCTCTCATTTACCTAGTGATGAGGCAGCGAAGATAATTAATAACCACTTTGCTACCATATGTCATACCCTACCCAGTCTTGACCTCTCTCTCCTTCCGGCTTACTTACCTTCCCCCTCCCAGTGTTGAACCATTTGAGATAGCTAACAAACTCCTGAAATTTAAATCCAAATGCTCCACAACCCCAATTGACCTCCCAATCAAAATATACAAGGAGTTTGCAGTCGAACTTGCCACCCCCGTTCTATTATCAATGCATCCCTCAGACAAAGTAAATGCCCTAATGAATGGAAAATCGCATTTGTAACCCCTATCCCCAAGGTCCCCACCCCACAGTCCCCTATCGACCTTAGGCCAGTTGCCATTACCCCCATACCTAGTTTACTCTGTGAAGACTTTGTTTTTGAGTGGGCATTTGCTCGTATTTATCAGTCAATTGATCCACAACACTTTGGCAATATGAGGACCTCCTCTACATCACACAGCTTAGTTAGTTTCCTGGATTTCCTGCACAAAAACCTACAGAAACGTAAGACATCACTGGCCGTTGCCCTTATTGACTTCAGGA